AAGACTTACAGCAGAACCGAAAAGGAAAGCAGCCTAAATTAATCCATATAATAATCACAGAGCATCAAACTGAAGATACAAATGATTCTTCTCAGTTGATGGTTCATAACAAAACCTTGGGAAAAAATCCCTAATGTATCAGAATTAACCAAAATTTCAGAAGACTTTTAAGCTCAGCAGTCTTAATGATGCCGCTGAAATTAAAAAATTAGGAGAACAATGGATGAACAACATGAGAACTACCACAAAGACAGAAAATATGTCAAAGCTCCAAACAGAAGTCACAGACATAAAGAATGTTGTAGTTGAAACTAAAAATACAATAGAGGGGCTCACCAGTAGACTCAGGGGAGGCTGAAGAAATAATCAGCAGGATGGAAAACAGGGTAGTGAAATCATCCAAAAAGGGCAATAAAAAGACAAAAGAATTAAAATGAAGACAACATAATAGACTAATGGAACATTGAGAGAAAGAATATTCACATCACAGGGGTTTCCACAGGGGAACAAGAAAGTAAAAGCAGAAATCCTATTTGAAGACAGTTTCACTAGTGAGTTCTACCAAACCTTCAAAGATGAACTGGTATCTATCCCTCTTAAACTCATCCAAAAGCTGAGAGAGAACACTTCCAAAAAAATATTTTATGAGGTTAACATTACCCTGATACCAAAAGTAGACCAAGATAGCACAAAAAAGGAAAAGCACAGACCAATATCTCTGAATAAGAGAGATGCAAAAATCCTTTAAAAATTATTAGCAAACTGAATTCAGTAATACATTGAAAGAATCATACAACAATGAGAATTTATTCCAAGGATGCAAGTTTGGTTAAGCATATGCACACCAATTAATCTCATTTATCACATGAATAAAAGGAAAAATTAATATCATAGTAGCATCACAATAGAGGCAGAGGAAATATTTGACAAAATCTATGATAGATAAATGTGATAAATACTCTCAATAAAATAAATATAGAAGGAACATACCTCAATATAATTAAAGTTATATATGACAAACCCACAGCTAGCTTCATACTTAATGATGAGAATATTTTCTGGCCCACCCTCTAAAGGAAAATAGTAGAGGTTTTGCAAAATATTAAAATATGTCTACCATATATTAAGCATTCCCTCTCCTAGGTATCTATTCCAAGAAAACAAAAACACTGATCCAAAGGGATATTTATACTCCTATGTTCATTATAGCACTATTTTCAATAGTCAAGCTATGGAACCAACCCACGTGCCCAAAAACAGAGCAGTAGATGAAGAAGATATAGTGTATATATGAAAAGGGGTAACTATTCAGCTATAAAATAAAGATAAAATCTTATTATCTACAACAACATGATGGGGCTGGAGATTTTACTAAGTGAAATAAACGATATTTGTTGCAGAAAATTGTTATGGTTACTGTGATTTGCTTCTTTAATGGTTGGAGTTTGATTCTACCTCTGACCACTCCTTCAGACTCAACAGAGAAGTCCCTGAGCTGTACAGTGGAGCCCCAAATACAACCCCACAAGAAGGAAAAAATTCTGACCTAGGACCAAGCCTCCAGCAAGGCCAGGCCAGTGGCTGTCCCACTGCACCCAGGGCCCACCTTTGGCGGGCTTACTCACCCAGGACCAGCAGAACCACCCACAGCAGCATGAAGACCTGGTCTACACAGGCTGAGATCGAAGCAGTTTCCTTGGAAGTAGCAAGCTTGATTTTGCTCTTATCATCACACAAAGTCCCAGGAACATCTCCAGCAGTTGCTTTTCTAAGAGCAGAATGCATTAGTGAAGTAGAAAAAGGAAGTGAAAATGCCAGTCTTTAACCATGAATCAAAGTTTCCTACCCTATGATATAAGTGAGAAAAAAGGTGTTAGGTTTTAAAAAAGCATATACCGCTGACTCCAGATTTCTTTTGCTGGGAAATCACCTTGAAGAAATTATATGAAGACAAAGCCATCAGAATGTTTATTGCAACATCAGTCCTAATTGCCAGAATACTGGCAGCAATGTAAACTTCAGGAGATTGGGAGGCGGTACAATCATATTCAGCAGCAACTGAGAACAAAATATGGGTGCACTTGTTGAAGGCCCGTGCACCTCAATCATTGTGAAAAGAAAAATTTAAAAAGTGAGGAATAGATTGTTATTTATAGTGCTATCCCACTGGGGTAGATGTGAATAATAGAATAGATGTGAATGTAAACTATTTTGTTTTTCTGGAAAGTACACCAAAAATGGTGGCTACATTTGGAAACTGTGGATGGAAAGGAGGCATTTTATTTTATAGTTTTAAATACTGTTTTGACTTTTTAAGAAACAACTGTATAAGTGTATTGCTTTTATAAATTTTTTAGTCAAGTGTCTATTCTAGCATTGTGGTGAACAAAGACCCCTGGGATATTAGCTTCCATGAAGAATGCCAGTTTCTTCCTTGAGAAATTGTTCCCACTTTCCTTTTAGGCCTATACCTTTCGTCTTGGTAATGAGACAGTGAATTTCTATCTACAAACGCACATCACCTACTATGTTTTATTAGGTCGGTTACATCCGCCCTGCCCTGCTGGTCTCTGAGATAAACAAAGTGCATGGAGAGATTACTCCATCTCGGTCCGCATGGGGCCTCACAGCGAACAGAGACTATATGCTCTGGGAACAAATTCAAATAGTGCTGCTTGCAATGTTCTTGCACATGTATCTCGGTTCTTGTGTGTATGCATTGCACTCAGTTTAGAAGGTTCTGCTAAATTATTTTCCAAAGGATGTAGGCCCACTAACCAGCGTGTGATTCATCTCACTCCCAAAGCCCCGCTGATAATGGTTTCATAGTCTTGATGCCAATTTTAGCCCTTCTGTTAAGATTATCTCAATGTGGTTTACATCTTTATGCATCTGGTGAATCTTGCAATAGAGCATTATAATTTAATTGACAAATTGGATGTTCTTTTCTATGTGACATATGTGTTCAAACTTTTTTCATTTTTCTGACTTTCTGTTTGGTAATTCTTTTAAACCGGGAGATGGCGCCCTAATGGATAAATGCATACATGCAGCAAATATCTCCTAACCTGTAACTTCCCTTTTCATTCTTTGATGGTGCCTTTTAATAAACAACCATTCTAAATCTGATGTACGCCTATTATCAATCTTGCTTGATAATTAGAATTTATCCAATTGCTTGTAAGAAATTTTGGGTTAACCTGTGCATTCTGTCTATAATATCACTACAATTTTGTCTGTGTGTACTATAAGCAAGGATTTATACTCGTTTTTTTTTAAAGATTTATTTATTTATGCATACAGAACTGGGGTACAGGCCAGAAGTGCACAGGCAGTGAGAGGATTCACCAGAGACAGAGTGGGGAGCAGAACAGGCTGAGTGATGAAGCACACTGCTGAGGGGAGCAGCAGGCGGGTCAGGAGATCTGCTGCACTATGCAGATCAGCTCCTGGGTGAGGGTTGAACTCATGCTGAAGTGGCTTTAGCTTCTTAGTGCTGTGCTTTAACCCACTGTGCCATCAGGGGTAGATAGATAGATAGCACCCTATTGAGTCCCAATACTTATTGAAATCCATTCTTTCCACAACAAAGAGCAAATCCACCTTTGTCATAAATCAAAAAGTCATGTGGACCTGCTTCCAGAAACTCTTTTCTGTTCTAGTATTTGTCTGCCTTGTTGTAATGGGATGCTGTCTTGATTGATGTTTTTAAATAAGTATTATCTAGTAGCTTAAGTCATGCAATGTTGTCGCTCATCCTTGAAATCGTTTTGAGTATTTTTTTTGGCTTTTGTATTCTATACTTTTTAAAGTATCAATCAAATGATAATTTACATGTTCATTTCTCTTCCCTTTCTCTCAAAAAGGCAAGGCAAAACAAAACTGTTACCTTATTAATAACTGGAATTGCATTGAATCTGTAAGCTAATTTGCATAAATTAATGTGAATCAAATCTTCCAATTTGTGAATGTGGAATATGACCCCATTTATTCGGGTCAGCTTGAATTTCTTTGCATAATTTTCTGTGGCTTTCTTTTTTTCTTTTTTAAGATTTATTTATTTATACAGAACTGGGGTACAGGCCAGAGATGCGGAGGGTGAGAGAATTCACCAGGGACAGAGTGGGG